AAAATACATAAGAAGCCACTTTATGGGAATTTCTATTCCGGAAAGTAACTTCCTGTATAGTGCTTGGTTGCGGACCCAATGCTGAACGGCTGCTGATGAACCGATGACGTGTCTGCACTGATAGTATTAAGATGCAAAAATGCGACTGACAGGAACTGAAAGTAGATAAAGCGGTCGCCACGCCTCAGTAGGGGGTCATGGCCCCTTGCACGGTAATCACATCCTGAATTCTGGATGGTAGTGACACATACAAATTGTCAATGAAACTGCGTTCGTTTTGAAGGCGAATAATTCTTCTTCGACAGCGCTTCATAGCTCATCGGCGGATGAACTGTGTGACACTCTTCTACACAGCCTAGCCTTCATTCTGCCCCATACGGCCTCAATGATGCTACTTCTTGCATAAAGAGGGGGTCGTAGCGGCCATTCATAGGGCACCAGACACGTTGCTTTTGGTCCCAGTGTGTGGTGAACGTGAGCTCGTCAGAAAAAAGTACTGTTTTCCAGTCGTCCATCGTCCAAGAAGCAGTGTTCTTTTGCGAAGTTAAGGCGCACCGTTCTTTTAGACAAGGAGAGGCGCGGCTTCTGGGCCACAACGTAGCTCTTTAGTTTACCTTTTGCTAGCCGTCCGTTTTATGGTCGATGAGCTTGCGGAAACTCCAGCGGCCACAGCCATTTCTGGCAGTACTGAAGGGGCTTGCTTTCGCGGCATTGCGGATGTCGGCATCCTGAGCAGCAGTCATTGCACGAGGGTGTTTATGTGGTGCATTGCTGATGCGGTCCTTCTTTCTTGTAAGTTTGGATAGTGCGATTTACAGTCTTATTAGACCTCTCTGTCATCCCTGCTATTTAGTGTTGAGAGTACTGCTTCTAGGACAATTAAACTATCCACAGGCGCACACTGTTAGGCACTCGGGACATATTCAAATGTGATAATGCATTCCAGTGTTTCACAGTGCGCGCTAGACACTGCTACTTTCACATAATACAGGTAAGTAGCACATTAGTCTGAAATTCCCAATTGAATAAAATGAAGCAAACAAAACAGCAAGGCTAGATATCACATATTTTGTGAAGCTCGGCTTGTCGAGTAGCTCAAAATTTGGTCGTCAAGACACGGTGGATGTTATCATTTTTGAAACTGATATCACCGCAGGGGCAAACGAGGGTGAGCGTGAAAACAAATAGGGGCGATGTGTATTTGCACTAACAGCCAAACCTTCTCTCGATAGCTCGAAAACATGTCATGATTGGCGCTACTGTACAACCTTGCAGCGCGCTCAGCCACGCGCTCGGGTGGTGTAGCTCATACTGAGCACGATAGTACTTAGCTGCACACTTTTTATTATCAATATAAATTCTCTGTGCTTGTCTATTCCTCAAAATATGTTTTACTGCGCATATGTTGAAGACATGCAGCTTGGTTTTAAGTATTGTGGTCTGCCCATGTATGAGCGGCAGGTTCAGCTTGGTTTGAACAAAGTCTCCAATTGGGCAGAAGAAAACGGGTTCCGACTGAATGCACAGAAAAGCAAGTGTGTTTTGTTCACCAGGAAGAGAGGCGTCCATTTCGAACCCGTTATTCAACTACATGGGCAACGTCTTTGTGTTTATACTGAACACAAAATCTTAAGCCTAATCTTGGACACCAAGCTAACCTTCATACCACACATCAAGTATCTAAAAAACAAGTGCATAAAAGCCATGAATGTTCTAAAAGTGTTGTCACGCACTATGTGGGGAAGTGACAAGAAGTGTCTGATCAAATTGTATACAAGCCTCATACGTGCTCGCCTAGATTATAGGGCAATAGCATATCAGTCTGTGACACCTACTGCCTCTAAAATGCTTGACCCTGTTCATCATCTAGGCATCCGTCTCTCTACGGGTGCTTTTCCCACTAGCCTTGTGGAAAGCCTGTACGTGGAATCAAACAAATGGTCGCTCCAACTACAGAGACGTTACATGTCTTATAAATATTATCTTAAGGGAGATGGGGGCCGAAAAACACGAGTTTTTTTCAAACTTATTGATTTTTCATTTTCGCCTGTTATAAAATTGGTACCTCTACTGTTCTGGAAAAAAAATATATATATCAAGACCTAATCGAAAATGCTTTAAAATTGCGTTTAAAGAGCACAAGGTGCCTTTAAACTAGTGTATTTTCTAGTGTATTTATCTCTGTTATGAATGAAAAAAGCCATTGTTCGCGTGTGGAAAGCAGCTGTGGTGCCACACTCTGTAGTAATAGGCTATGAGCAGCTGGTCGGATTTGCAGCAGTTTTTGGCTTGCAAAAGTGAATGCATCAAAAGTCATCCACAGCCATCAGCCAAAAATTTTGTGATGCGGCAATGGATGAGTCAGTGCCAATCTCTCGAAGTCGAAGGAGCTCACAGTGAGGAAGCTTAGGGGGTATGACATTGCCATTATGCACCACGGTATGTGACACAAACGTGGCCGCAAAATGACATCGGCACTGTTGTGTCCCTCGACACTGGACTAAGTTTAGATTTCGCAGTCCTGTCGAACTTCTTTCTAGCTTGCCGTTGGCACAAAGCTCTGCCAGATGGAGCGGAAGAAGTTTGACAAGTGTTTCATGGCCCTGTCTGTGAGCAAAATGTTTGTGAGGAGTCGGCTCGAAAAAGCTGAGAAAGACAAACTCATGGTGCTGGCGTGTTTTAGAGGCAGTGGCCACTACAAGAAGGACTGTTCTTTTTGATGTGCAAATTTCATCGAATTTATAGACATCTTTCATAAATAAAAAGTCAATTTTAACTTTAAAACTCGTTTTTACCAAAACCAAACTTTTGTCATTTTTTCCAATGTGCGCTTCCTTTTTCGGGCACTTCTAGTGAGCGGATCTGTATTAAATTTTGTCCAAATTTTTTCCAAAGTATGACAAATACAACTATCTTGTTTATATTTCAATATTTTATTTTATACTACAAAGTTTATGTAAACTTTTGCTAAGGTAGGTGAAATATGGCCTTTTTATGTCTATTATTTTTCATGAATATAACGTATTTTGTATGTGCTTCTTAATTAGTTATTTGTATTCTACACTTTATTTGAAACATTATTAACTATGAATGGCAAAAAAGTCACGGAAGTTTAGGATGAAAAGAAGGGAAGTAAAAGGTTTAAGGTTCTCACTTTGTCATATTGCAGAGCTAAACGTAAGGAACTTGCAAGAAAACTAATTATATATTTGAAATCAGCATAAAAAGTTCCTATAAACAGCTCAAGTTTCATTGCTCTAGGGTGAATATTAAAAAAAGTGTCTTTGAGTACAGCATATCCCTTTAAAGTGAATGCAGACAAGGAACATCCTTCACATTCTACAATTAATGACATGTCAAGCCTTGCTGTGTTTGAGAAACAACCTTCTATGAGACAGCCGTACTCACTGTGTGTGAGGGGCCTAGCGAAGGAAACTCGCATGCCACTTGAACACCGTTTGATGGCTCCTGCAGTATGCCTGCCACCGTGGAAGTGGCAGGCGATAGATTGGGACATGTCTTTCTTGGAGGTTATGAAGCATGCACCAATTGCACATATTCAGACATATTTCCTAGAACTGCAACAAAAATACACATGTCCTGAGTTCTTTACGTATGCCTCAAAGACCAACACTTCTGTCTCGTACGCAGCTGTTGGCCCATCCTTTTCGGAAGCCGACGTTCTGCACTTTGATTCACCCATTTTCACCAGCGACGCTTATGCAATACTTGCGGCCGTTAAACACGATAAACAAATAAAACTACAAAAGGCAATTATATATACAGATTCCCTAAGCATAGTAAAAGCCCTGAAAACTTTATAAAAAGCACAAAAACCTGTCCTTGTCTCGCTTTATTCATTCTTATACACAATTTACTCATCCAAGCAGCATGCTGTAGTCTTCTGGGTACCAGGACACCGTGAAATACAAGGCAACGTTCTGGTGGACCAGCTAGCTGGATCCGCCAACAAAACCACTACCAATACATCGATACCAGTTCCTGCACTCGACTTGAAACCTTTTCTAAAATTAGAGCTCAGGGGTTATTGGCAGAAAATATGGGACTTCATCCAGCAATGTTCGTTAGTAGGGAACCACTTTTCACACATAAATCATTGTTTGCTTTTCTGAGAGAACTATGTATCTTTCTTGTGATACACCTGAGTATTCTGCAGCACGACCTCTCTAGAGAGGTCTCCGCTGTGGCGGCTACACTGAACAAAGCACTTCCCTCATGGCCCTTGGACGCAAGGATGCGAACAATCGAGGCACTTATGCTAGTGCCATACATGTTCATCACGGTTTTCGATGACACAAACTTTTGTCATTATTGATACTGCACTCATTTCACGACGTCGTCATGATTTTGTTACTTCTATGTTTTTACCCACCTTAGCGCCAGGAATTTTAAGGCCCTTATACAGCCACTAGTCACAATCATTGTTCACATCTCTAGTCCAATAACTGGCGCTCTTTGCCCATCAAATGGCCCTTGCGCCAAAAAACACCAAATATCATCAGGTGCTGTTCATAATAGATGCATTGTTTTATTACATTTTGAACCTTGCAACATTTTAACGCCAAATTTTTTCATTCATCTGAGGTCTAGAATGCCACCTATGTTTTTTATTTAGTTGCAGGGCTTTCACATTTGACTTTCTAAGGTTTAATATATATGAATTTCGGGTAAATTTGGTCACTTGATCAGCATTGCATGCTTAGTGAAAACCACTGAAATTTTTTGTGTTGACCAGAATGCAAAAATTTAATTCAATAATTTAATAAATCTGCTCCAAAACTGAATTTCGATGCTCCAGAACACACCTTTTGCAGCCACAGAGCAGCTCCAAAACTCCTTTTTTATTGCTCCAAAGCTGCTTCCAAAACCACATTATTACTGCTCCCAAAGCTGCTCCAAAAAGACTGAAGCCCGCTTCCACCATGCATATCTTGCAAGTTATGTTCCTTCTTTATGGCAGGGGCTCTCTCCGACCAAAGAAGCTCTGGCATGAAGAAGGTGTTTGGGACCATGACATGTATAGCGAGGAGGAGCAGGGACCTAAATCAAGTGAGGAGCTTGTGAGAATATATGGCTACGATATTCGTTCAGAACCGACGCCTCCTAGAGCTCGAAGATGGAGGCGCTATGGCCGTGGCCCTAAGATATATGAGCGCAGCTGGGAAAATGAAGGAACTTACACCCTCCGGTCAAGGTCAGGACGCGGGGGAGGAGCACGTGGTGGTCGAGAAACCAGGGGTGGAAGCCTGGTTGAAAACCCCCAATTCCACGATGAGGACTTCCCCGACCTTCACTCGAAGCCCTCTGAAAATACCGCCACAATGCAGCTGAACAGGGCAGAAGTAAAGTCGTCAGCCAAGCCTGCAGGGTTCAAAGGCTCAGACTTGACAGGAAGCAACAGTTCTCAACAGAGAAATGGGACAATACAGTGAAAGGTTCTGGAATGACCCACTGGGGTTGGGGCAAGCGTCCTTCTCTACCTCCCAGGGCAGTACCAGATGCACCACCAAAGCAGCAGGACAGCAACGTTAAGGAGGATGTACCCCTAGGGCATCGTGTCAGCAGCCCTGCACCACAGTCACCAATGATGACTGTTGAAGCGCCTCAAGTTTCACCTACTGCTGGCAAAAGTCAAGCTATTCAGCATCTGCTGAGCAAGCATGATCAAAGCAAAAAGGAGTATGAGGCACTCAAGAAGTTTGCTGCTAAAGGAGAGCTTCAGGATGGTAAGACCAAAATCTTTATTCACTTACGTAGTGCATGTGAAATTCCGTTTTCGTGAGTTTTTTTATGGGGCTCGGCATACCGCCAAGTTTTGCATTTCAGTGTGTTACTGTCATAACAAAGCAGATGCAGAAAGAAGGGACTAAAATAGACTCTGTATCCACAAAGGTGGACACAATTTTAATGATCACACTTGTTTTACTATGTTGTTCCAAATGTACTCATAGTTTCATATCATATTTTAATTGAGAGCCAGTTCTACAATCGTGGCTCTTTTATAAGAGCAAAACTTCTATTAAGCATAACTGAGGAAAATGCAGTTGTTAGCTAGTGTCAGTATGATCGAGTTTACTCCCTATTCCCATGATTTTTTCATTGTTGTACTCATGGTATCAATATACCTCAAAGCCATTTTGCAATTAAAGTGTACGTAATCTACTATTGCTAGAATTCAGTCGTAAAATTTGGATTTGGCTCTTTTAGATAAGTCACAAAATAATTGCCCCATTTTAATTTATTAATTTCATTGAATGATTTCAGTTATTTATTATTCGTTTATTTATTTACTTATTGAAGGGTGGAGCCCCTGCTACATTTGCACCCTTTGGGTTTTCCTGTGCTTATATCATGTGCATTTGAAAAAATTTGCCTACAGATAAAGACACCTACCTAAATTAGTTTTAGTCTCAGTTCATTGACAAGCTCTTTTCTCTTCCTACATAACTTTAGTTTGCGTATGATTTGGCGTCAGACTTTTTAAAACACTTGTGCTGCTGATCTTGGTGGCAGCTGTAATTGTGCACTGGATAGCTCCTGTGGCCGTATAACGAACTGCTATTTCTTGTTCCTTATTCCTTTTTTGGCCCCCAAAGGCGCTCCCCGAATGGCCGTTCAACCTGTCAGTCAAGTGACGAGTGCAAAGCCCACATTGTGGTGATGACCCAAATTGCAAGCGTGCGCTCGTTATGAAAAAATAAATGCTGATTGGTCGTTGAACCTGTCAATCAAGTGACGGTTCAGAAGCCCGAATCGTGTTGACGTCAAAATGAGGAGTAGGCGCTTATTATGGAAAAATAAACCAAATCGCTTCCACGCTACGGCGGAACAGCCAGCGAGTTATCTGTCACAAATGGAATATGAAAAATGGCAGTGCCGGCTGAGCCAGCGGCCTTTGTTGTTACGTTTGGCTTTGAGACGTGACCTACAACAAGCGCCAGAGGGATGTTGAGGTTGCATTGACATGCCCGACAAACAGTTTGGGCGTCACTTTCGCCTGAGTAAAGCAATGGCGTTGTAATTGCATTTTGCAGCTTGCCATACTTTTCAGCGAAGAAAATACTCCCCGGTAGTCACAATTACATTGTTCTTGCAGATTTATATGCCACAGAACGCAAAACATGGCTCACACAGACGATCAGTTTTTTGTTTTTTTTTTTCACTCTACACACAACAGTCATTATGTGACTTGGATTGGATGCAAAAATGACTAACATGTGGCTTCAACTCTCAAAACACAAAAGTTTATCCTTTACTTTCATCAATTTAATTATTTCATGTTAGCGATAGAAGCTTATAAATCAAATTTATTTTAATTTACGTGGGATGGTTTTTTTGGTACATTCTCGCAAATAAAATAAATAGAATATGCGACCCCTTTACGGCTCTCAGCCAGAAAGTCGCTAAGGTGCTTAAAGTTTCCTCTTCAAAATACCCAGAAAATACTAGGAATTTTTCCACTTGCGCAAGAAATAAATTGAATATGCAACCCCTTTGCAACTTTTAGCCAGAAGCGCTAAAGTTCTTCAGTTTTCTTCTCAAAATACCCAGAAAATACTAATGATTTCTTTATATTTGTATGTAAACTGGGCCAACTGCCGCATTTGTCTTGTTCTGACTCTATAGGCGGCAACGACCACTTTTCATTGGCCAAATTTTAAAAACGTAGGAGCTTTGGCGTGGGCGGCTACTCAAGCGAGATGTTACAAGGAAAACGGTATACGGAATAGAAGTACGTTATATGGCCACTGAACAAAGAAAATTGCCAAAAGTATGGTTTTGTTTGTAATTCTTGTGTAACCCAAACCAATGTGCTTTTGTGAAGGCACAAGGACTATTGTGGTTGCATTATCTTGCACTCGGCTAGCTTGCTGAGCTAGCTTGCTATGCACACATTTTCATTACTTTCCTTTGTTGCGTGCGTTTACAGACCTGGTACTTTTGTTTTTCCTGGCTGAACTAATGAAAACAATCGCAGTTGTCTTGGCCTATCAGTTTATTTTTTGAAAAAAAAAAGCTGCTTTTTAAATACACATTTTATATTGACACGAGCATATAGTGGGTGTCTGGCTGTTGCGTAGCTAGTGTCATTATTACTTTTGCGTGTCGAGGGATTTGGTCAGCAGAAAAGACGACGACGTCATCTCAATAGACAAGACACGATTGCCACTTGAGACCGGACAAAACTGTGTCCATCATTCGTTGAAAAGTCGCGGGAGCAGAGTACAGTGTAAAAGGAAGCACATTGAATTCGAAGAGACAGTCAGGAGTAATGAAGGCGGTCTTTTCCCGGTCACGCTCATCGACCTCAATTTGCCAGTAACCACTGTGTAGATCCATGGATGAAAAATATAGGTTGTTTCTAAGGCAGTCGAGTGAGTTGTTGATGCAAGGAAGCGGATAAACGTCTTTTTTTTTGTCACGGTGGTCAGTTTGTGATAATCAATACAGAAACGCAATGTGCTGTCTCTCTTTTCACCAACACAACCGGTGATGCCCATGGGCTTGTAGATGGCTGAATGATGTCATCAGCTAGCGTTTGTTGTACTTGGTTTTGGATGGCGTCTTGTTCTCTGTGGGAAACTCGATAAGCATGTTGTCGAATAGGCCTTTCGCTGGGCTCTGTTATGATTCTGTGCTTTGCGACGGGCGTGGGTTTGATTTGGACGTCGTGGCAAAGCAATCACTTAAGGAAAACAGGAGGGAGCGAAGACTCTCTTGCTGTGAAGTCGACAGTGCGCAGTTCACATCAAGCTTAACCGGAGACTGTTTGTCGTCGCGAGGACCGGAAGAGAGTTGCGCGAGTGAGAAGCTGGCTTTGGTGTCTCCGATTTCTTCGAAGTAAGCGATGACACACTGCTTTATGAAGTGCTGGTATTCGTGACTAAAATTTGTTAGTAGAATTTTCGCAGGATCTTGGGTCCATTCTATGAGACCACAGGCGAAGCATACTTCATGAGACAAGAACATGGACACATTGCCTTCCACAACTCCGAGAGCCGTTTGATTGATGTCACTCAGCACGTTAACCAGAACACTGGAACGGGGTAGTACTGTCACTGAATCGTTGGATACACGCAACGTTATCATACACGATTCACAATCCTGAGAATGTTCGTTGCGTGAAAACGACACCAGCTATTCTCGGAGATTTATAATAGCCGCATATTCTCAAAGGAAGTCTAATCCCAAGATGACCTGCCTGCTGCATTTCCGCAGTACGACGAAAGTCCCGGTGAATGTCGAAGTGCCAATATGTACTCGGGCAGTGCACCTCCCAACCGGCGTCACTAGATGACTACCGGCAGTACGGAGCTGCGGGCCGTTCTGTGGCGTTGTTATTTCTCACATTCTGGGCTGGGACAAGTAAACGAGAAAGAAGAAGAGCGCGAGTGAGAGACGTGGGGACGCACAAGTTACAGCAGAGTGCTTCCAAGCGCAGGTAAATAAACAAGTATGTTTTGCCTTATACCAGTCTGATCGCAGTGTCTGGAACGCCATTGTCTTAATATTTGGTGCCGAAGAACCGGAATTGAAAACCAGGACTCTACGGACGGCTACCAGTCAACTGCAGCGGCATGAACTGACTGAAGTCGAAGCGGATGTCGCGGCGAGCACAGAACACGAGGATTATAAACCAGGCAAGTGCTCTCCTCGCTAACGACTCTGCCTCCTATGACCATCTCGATTCCATATATGAGAGGCTGAAGGCTAATAACGAAGAGCTTAAAAACTTGAACGAGATTAAGCAGCATATATCTCACGAGGAGTTCAAAGTCGAGTATAACGCCGTCTTACAATACGAGGACAGTGCTACGCCCATTCTCGCATAGATTCTCAGCAAGAAAGATTGCATGCTAAGGACATCGACCGGAACTCAAGAAACAGTTGACCGGTGAAGTTTCACGGTGCGAAGGCAACGAATCCTTGATCGCACTGAACTCCAAGCTTGGATGGAGCTTCCAAAGAAGCACATCGCACTTGGTGTCCCAACCAACTACTTCAAAAATGATGGTGTGCTTGCTAAAAGCCCAAGCTACCGATTCCGACGAGATTTTGCACTTTTGGGAACTTGAAAACAATAGGAATTACGGACACGATAAACAAGCCACCTGAAATGAGCAACACTATGAGGCATTTTGAGCAAACGATTAGTTTTTTAAATGGAAGATTTAAAGTGGCCCTCTCTTGGAAGGATAATTTCGAGCTTGCAAGCAACAAGCAAGTCTCTGTTACTCAACTGGACAAGCTTGTCAACCGTCTCGACTCCAGGAAAGGACTGCTTGAAACGTATGACCGTACTATAAGAGAGTTGTTGAGGGCAGGACACGTCAAAGTAGTCAGTGATGTACCTGCAGAGGTGACGAAATTATATTACATGCCGCACAAGAAAGTCATGTGTGAACAAGCACTGACTACAATAATGAGAGTGGTGTTTGACGCTTCATCACATGCCAAAGAATGCAAGTCCCTTAATGACTGCCTTGAAAAAGATGACAATTATACCAAGACCTTGTGCAAATTCTGCTACGCTCCAGAACCCACCCGGTGGCAGTTATCGCGGACATAGTAAAGGCATTCTTTCAGATTGCGATTAGAGAGGATGACAGAGGCACTTTCTGCTTTCTCTGGTTTGCTCAAGATTTATTCAAGGTCAAGCTACAAGAGTGGAGGATGACACGAGTACTTTTTGGAGCTACATGTAGCCCATTTTTGCTCGAAGCTA